CGGCGCGGCACCTCTACCCACTGCTGGGACCTGTGGCTGCACCTCCTCGGCACTGGGACCACGTCCCAGAACACCCCCAGCACGGAGCAAGGAGGGTGCCGGGGCTGGAGGGGCAGATGGAGACCCTGGGCAGAGCTCACCAGACCATGCACCTCCGTGGCTCCAGGGAAGAGGAGGTGGGATAGGCACTTACGTTCATCCTTGATTTTGGAGACAACGGGGTCCCTCCTGCTCCCCACACACCCAAAGTGGGCTAAGGCATTAACCAGCAGTCTGTCCGGGCTGGGATTGCACATGTGCCCAGGCCAGCAACAGCGTTATTTCCTTTTACGCCCACAAGAGCATCAAGAGGGTTGTGCTGGCTCAGCCTGAGCTCCCCCAAACCCAAATCCCAGCATGTGGCAAGCAGGGAGGGGGCTCGGAGCAGAGGCCATTGGCCTGGGATGCTCACCAGCCTCCAAAATCCACAGTGCAGGGAAGTCCTGAGCCTTCAGCATTGGAGCACCTGATGTCCCTTGATGGATTTTGCCTTCCCCACCCATTCGTTGGGGGTTTTGAACCCACACGCCCCTCACCACCCACTCCGCCCTCCCATGTAATTGCGTATTTGAGGTTTGGCCACCTCAGCTTGTTTTGAACCCAGCACCCGTGCCTGCTGGTGCCTGTCCTGCTATTAGAAAATGCAGCTTAGGGTGCTTCGCTCCGCAATCCCCACCCATCCCATCCTACCCACCGGGATCCCCCTGCCAGCCGGGAGAGCCCCCGGCCCACAGCTGCCCCTGCCCGGGGCTGGTCTCTGAGCTGGGCAGCAGCAAAGCTGGTCTGAGCGAAGGGGGAGTGCTGAACGGAAAAGGCATTTGTTAAACAGCATTAAACCTCCTTGCGAAGCCTTCACACGCAATTAAAGCAGCATAAATTCAGAGTGCCTTGATTTACCACTGAATTGAATTAAGAGCACTTGAAATTTGGAATAAGACTATCACCTGGGGATTTAATGTGGTTTCACTAATACACTTCAGAAGATAATGCGGGTTCATCTTCCTGAGCGTCCCTGTGCAGCCAGGTCCCTGCTCCTGGGGAGGGCAGGAGGGCTGCCGGTCTGGTGGGCTTGGACATGGCCTCACTGGGTACTGCCATCCCACAGCAGGGGAAAAAAAAACCCAAATCCTTCCTGCTCAACAAGTATTTTGGTGTGTTTCAGGTGGTGACTGGAGCAGCCGTGCCCAGCTCCCACCCACGCACGCTGATGGGCAAAGAGGTCCCACAGCCCTGCCCTGCCCAAAGCCGCCGCGGGTCCCCTCCGTCCCCAGCCCCTGGAGCCCCGTGATTTCTCCCCCCGCTGAACGGGAGCGATGCTGAGCAGCGGGGGAAGGGAGGGAGAGCCACCAGGGAAGGCAGCTGAAAAGCTTTCCTACCTCGTACCTGCACAGCTTTTACAGCCTGACATGCTCACTCCCTCCTGGAAGAGGAAAGCCTTCCCCTCCAGCCGCAGCGGAGACCAACTGCACCAGCCCTTCCCCAGCGCTTAATTACATCAGGCGGTAATTACTGTAATTCTTTTCAATTGGCTCTCTAATAAAGTTACAGCTTCACTCACCTCCGGACCCCCCTCGCTGTGCAGCGCAGCACCACTGCCCTGGAGTGATGCTGCCGCTTTTACATGGGAGGTTTTGATTAAGACTGAAATTATCTGACACGTCGGGATCAGTGTATTTACATTTTTTTTAAACCACCGAGCCTCCCCCTCACACAGCCTCGGGTCCGACGCTGAACAAGCCAAAGACCCCGTTGCTGCTTCGCTCGGGGCAACACGCATAGGAGCTGGTGCTGCTCCTGTGCCGGGCTCCTTCTGAGCTACCGGGGGTTTTGGGTTTGCTCCGAAATGACCAACTGCCCTCCTCCAGGCCTGCAAGATCAGGCTTTCCTCTACGCATACAACTGGCACGCACCATCCATCCCCAAACTTCCTTGCACCAGGCCACTCCATCCATTTAACCACACGCACCCGCTTGACTGGTGGAGCCCATTTACAGGGGCAACGCAGGAATTCACCCCCGGTTTCAGAGCAGATCTTTGCGACGCCAGCGGCCGCAGCACCCGCGCGCAGCCAAGGCTCCTCCTGGCGAGGAGCACATGTATCGATAACCACGTACCCAGCTACTTATACTGCAGCAGAGAGACTGAAAATTGGATTTAATGACACTAAAACCTCCCTCTGCTTTGGGGAGACAGGGTTTTGCCTTCCCCCCAGCCACTGCTGATGCATTCCTAAACAGAGCAATTAAATAAGTTACAGCCATTAATGATTTACCTCGATGCGCCTCTCCTCTACAAACCCAAATGCAATTCTCAGAGGAGAAGCCTTATTTTAATTTGTGGCCAACTTGATGCTCGACATTTGTAGCAGAAAATAAACTAACCTTTATTTAAAAGCTAAATACATATAAATTTGTCTGTACATTTTAATATATGGGTTGTTTTTTACAGCTCACGAATAGATTGCATTTTGGGGGGAGCAATGTATGTATTTTGAAAAGACCCACTGAACAGCCCAGGGAATGTCGCCTTTAAGACAATTATATTAATACCAGGAGAAAAAAAAAAAACATATTGTACAAAAGCAGTTAATAATTATATAAAAGACAACAAGATCTACAGCTTATCTATTTCATTAACTCTTAAGTGTCAGGGGAATGAGCATGTTAGCTTACCCTCCCAGCAGATGCCTGTTTAGATGTTAAAGGCATATGAAAACTAGTATATAATTCAGCTGTTTATTATCTGTACTCAAGAGGCTAAAATGCTTGAAAACATAATAAATTTGGCAAAAATATCCCAAGAACTGTTTAGCTTAATTCTGATCAGCATTTTGGTAACATGACAGCAATAACCTTGATATAGTAAATTATAAGCTGATCAAGATAAATAAAATTATAACATAACGCTGCCAAGGAGCGGCTCTAAAATTTAGATACGGTTTAAAACATTAACTACAGAACAGGCTGCTTTCCATTTTAATGGATGCTTTACAGAAACAGCAAACGCGACTTTGACCTGCGCAGGCACTTCTTCTCGAATACTGGACTTTATTGGTAAGTGTAAAACACACTGAAATTCATAAAATTTAAATAAGACAGCGAAATTATACCTTGTAGCTATCGTTATCACAAATAATGTATAGTCTAAATTGCAGCCTGAGCAAACATTATTTGCTGGGTGCCTTTGGAAGCCCAAGGCGGGATGCAGAGCAATTATGAGAAATGAGTACAAAGCCGATTTGCATCTGAATGCCAGGGAGGGGGAGCAGGGGCGGGCTGGGAGCCCGCTCCATTCATAGCACCACAATACGCCGGCTGGTAAAAGCAACTTTATTAGTGTCCCGCAGCAAAATACATTAGTAATTTGTAACCAGGCATTAAAATTCCCGTCCGGTGTCATACAGAAGCAATTAGCCACCTCCATGATTGTATGTTTTACTGGATTTGCTCTGGGTGCTCCCCCAGCAGAGACGCGTGTGAAACCCGCCCCGAAAAGGCCAGCAGCAAAGTAACCTGCGGGTGCCCCATACGCCAGGCACGCGTGGAAATGACCTGCCTGGCAAACAGCGCTCTCACAGCCCAGGAAAAGCGGCATCACATAACCTGCAGCACCAAGCACATCTCCAAACATGACCCCCTCCCGCTGTGACCCCCAGCAAAACCCAACCCGGGCAACGGTATATAGTTTTTCCAGGTGTTTTCCAGTTGTGGTCACACTGTTGCAGCAGCACAGCTAGCGCCTGCTGCATTTTCATACTCCTTTGAGTGTACAAAGCTTGTTCCCTGTCCACCCCAACAGCAAGAATACACTAATACATACAATACTTTCATTTTTTTTTAGTGTGAAAAGATCTAATTCTCCTCTCTTGATCACAATGAAAAACTGCAGTCTCTGAGTAGCATGATTCAACTATTAGTGTTAACCGTTAGTGTTACTGTAAAATCCTCTTTGGTTATAGAATATTTTATTTAAAGCATGATTATACAAAATAATTTTCTGCTAGAAATACACCCCTGAAATCTAAAAGCAGTCTAAATTAACACACTTCCTCAGGCTGAAGCTATATTGATAGGACTTATAAATTTGAGTATTTCCCCACATAATCTAAACAAAGTTATCAAAATTATATTAAGTAAATACATTTTGAGGAATAGTAAACTTTTGAAAAATCCTCAGAATATTAAAAGTAGAGTTCTGGAAGTAGCAGTAGTGGGCTAGAGAAAAAAAAAAATAACCAAGACAATTTAAATCTCTTTAAATACTCTCCATCGCCTTGAATTCACTGAGAGCCTGCACCGGGTTAACGTGTTTCTTCTGGGACGCTCTCTTGATTTTAGTTTGGGTTTCGTCTTGTTTCTCCCTCTTGACCAGGGGTTTCTTCTCCGGAGCCTTCATCTTCCAAGAGACAGCGGGAAGATTGAGCGAAGCCATGCCCTGGGACTTCTGGTACTTGGTCGATGCCACATAGGAAGCCTTCACGGTTTGCACCACCGCATTCATCAGGTTCTTGGCTGCTTGGATCAGAGACATGGCACTGTCCACCTGCCAATGGTAACACACAAGCGTTATACACCATAAAACCCACACAAATACAGTATTCCAGAACACATGATAGTCCAGGGGTATAAACGCACCTAAAAACTGATTTTTCTGGGTTTTCTTTTGAAATCCAAGGTTCCAAATTCAAGGTGATATTTTAATTTGGACACTAAGTGGTAAAAACCTGACTTGTGCCACCAGAAAAAAAAGGTACAACGTTTGCCCATGATCTGTGCCTTTTCCATATTAATGGCAATTGAAAAGAAGGGTATGCTGCTGTTTGCTTTTGTGACTAAGCTTTAACAGTAGCTTATTCTCTAATGAAATTAATAAAGCTGTAGTAATATCTTAATCACTGATAATAAATATTTAAATCGCCCTAGAATATTAAGTTGTATTGGAAAGGAAGGAATGCAACTGCATCTTCAGCCAGGCCTTGGAGCCCTCTCCCAGGTGGTTCCTGATTCATAAGAGCATTAAAATGAGGGGAAAAAAAAAAAGCATTTGCCAAAGTTTTAGCACATGGCAGAGATGAAGAGCCAAAAATGGGGCAGGACCACTGAGGTGACCTCAGCTGGGGCCCCACTTAGCCTGGTGCCAGCGCCCTGCTCTGGGTGGGACCTCCAGCTTGCAAATGCCAATCGGTCTGGGCAGGGTTTCGGTCTTGGGCACGATTTCTGCATCTCTGCTAAGCTTACACAGGAGCTCAGCTGCCTCTATACACTTTAATTCCTCTATACACTTAAAAACCATCTAAGGAAGGTTTTGGGAAAAAGCTTGAAGCCATTCCTTATCTAGCAGCAAAATAAATTGAGCAGGAGGTCGGTTGCTCTTACGGTGCTGGCACCTTCCTTTCCATCACACTGTGTTTTTGAGTACCACAACGGCAGATCTGATCTGTGCCCTCCAGCAAACCAGTGTCGTCTGCTTTCCTCACCCCAGTCACCACACTGGAAAACACTTTCATTGCATTTGACTATTTCCATGAATCTTCACAGCAGGAAGAATCGTATTAAATGCAATGAAAGCAAGGAGACACTTTTCTAAATGAATTGTCAGACTGCTTAGGGTGCAAGCTCTTACTGCCTTGCTTATAGCTCTGCTTTCACAAAATTTCTGCAGTACATGGATGGTGGAGGATGTTAACGTTGAAGAGAATTTTACTTTTAGACAGGTGAAGTCCCTGGACTGGCAGAGGTCTTCATCTGATAATCTGATAGAAGCTTAACACTACTGCTGGCAATATTTAGTCCCAGTGGACAGACTCGTGGAGGACAGATAAAACCAGGAGATTAGACTAGAGATGCCAGCCTGTTCATATAACTAATTTATGGCAGAAGGGTATGTAAATTCTGAAGACACTGAATAACTGCAGTAAAACCCTGGAGTACGTATTATTGCATAATGACACATCTACTTCTTTGACAGCACAATGCCTTCAGCCTTCCAGCTAATAGGACATCAGGCATGCAACAGAGATGCACAGCAACACGTGTTTTATTACATCTCATCACTCAGCTCCGCTGTGCTGGAAATCTGAGCATGTGGGACTGGCAGCAGTAGGAGGTGCAGCACAGAAGCCTGTCTCCCCTGCGAAGGTGCTAAGCTTATGCAAGTGTGGTCCATCACCACCACTGCTTCTGCAGCAGGTTGCTGCAGACCTCCCTCAGCTGCTGCTGTCCCAAAGCACTCATTCTACAATTCTAGCTTGTTTGCGAGAAAAAGAGATGTGCTAATAAGTTTAAGCATTTGAAATATCTAAATGGCAGAAGGTGGTAATTTTTTTTCCATTTGCTTTTAGCAATTCAGACAGCAATATTGGACTATCAGCCATTTCTGTCCCTTCTCCAAACCTCCTACCTCAGTCATGACATGGATGGGCAAAAGCACCAGTGATAAAACATACCTGTCTAGGGCAAGGAAGAATATGCCAGAAGAAATTAAGAATTCAGCTCTACCTCCCTCCCCCCAAATAGCCATCATATAGATTCCTCTTAGGAGGCGGCATTTCATGAACTACAGTGAAAAAATTATTTGCTAAGTAATGGCTAGAATAAGAAAGCAGGCTGGCCTACGGGAGCTTTCAGCTGTCACAAAACAAGAGCAGCCACTAAAAATTCCTGCACCCTTCAGGGCACAGCTATTTCGAAATATTAACATCTCTGGAGCATTGCAGGACCCCAGCACATTCCAACTCTGTGCAGAGACATGGGGTAGGTTTAGCTATGCTGATTAAAGTGATTTAACCTCACTAAGAGTGAAAAACAGTCTGGAAAAACAAAGGTAAAGTGAATCTGTCTACAAACACAGCTAAGTAAGGATAAGTGAAGTCTGTATTTGTATTTTCCCCCCTTTCAAACAGTAACTGTTTCCTCCAAGAACAACGAGGCAGTGCAGGCAACATTATAAACTTTGCATACATTAAAACTTTGACTGAATGCTCAAAAATCTTGTCTATATTCTGTATTGTTTAGCATAAAAGCTTCGCTTGGAATAACTGTTACCCCTGGAAAAAAAAAAAAGACACATGAACCAGACATGTCCTAGCTCATACATACCCCAGACACAACCAGCTCTCCTCCAAGGTTTTGAACTTCAGCCTTAACTTTGCTACAGATATTCAGCTGATGGCAATAGAGCGCAATGCGCTGCAGGTAGGCTAGGAGGTCTTGCTTGCATGCAGAATCGGGACACTGGAAAAACAAAGGTCAAGTTTCACTTTGCAATCACGAAAACTGGAACAGAAATCATGTAGGGAGTAACCAGAAAACTCCATTCTGAAATAGCAAATGTGCTCCAGAGATTATTCCACTTTCTGCTGAGCTTTGGTTTTCAAAAGACAACTGAGCAATATATGGGCATCACTAAATACATATAAAAAAACCAGAAGCAATAAACACGGGCTATCAGAACACAGGGGCAGCCGCTGGACAAAATCGCTGGGATCCTTTCAGCTGCACAGCTGCCCTTGAGGTCCCTGCAAGGAGGAGGAGGAGGGCTACCTAACTTTTCCAGAGCAGGTTTGTTAACTACAAAAGGTCCTTCCTGTGCACTGTACAGGACACAGCAGCAATGATTTGACATCCAAGATCTCAAGCTGCAACTAGCAGATGTTACCAAATCCAGCCTCAATTTCCAGTCTGTCGTGGTTTAGCCCCAGCCAGCAACTCAGTACCACGCAGCCGCTCGCTCACTCCCCCTACCCCGATGGGATGGGGGAGAGAATCGGAGGAGTAAGAGTAAGAAACACTCCTGGGTTGAGATAAGAACAGTTTAATAATTGAAATAAAGTAAAATAGTAATGCTAATAGTAACAGTATAATAATGATAATAATAATAATGATACACGAAGCAAGTGATGCACAATGCAATTGCTCACCACCCGCCGACCGATACCCAGACAGTTCCCGAGCAGCGATCGCTGCTCCCCGGCCACCCCCCCCCAGTTTATATACTGAGCATGACGTCATATGGTATGGAATAGCCCTTTGGTCAGTTTGGATCAACTATTCTGGCTGTGCCCCCTCCCAGTTTCTTGTGCGCCTGGCAGAGCATGGGAAGCTGAAAAAGTCCTTGACTAGCATAAGCAGTACTCAGCAACAACTAAAAACATCAGCATGTTATCAACATTCTTCTCCTACTAAATCCAAAACACAGCACTATGCCTGCTGCTAGGAAGAAAATTAACTCTATCCCAGCCGAAACCAGGACACAGTCTTAAGTATTTTAAGCTAGGAAATGATAAACCCGACAGTTACTCAATTATATCCAGCAAAGTAGTATTTTCCTGACTTCTGCTCCCATCTCTTAGCAGTGTGGATACTAGATTCCTCACCAGGCATGAAATAAAATTTTTAAAGTACTTGCTGAAGCACTCATCCGTAAGATAAAAGTGACTTTTTCAGCTTTGCAACTGAAAGACTACGTAGGTACCAGAGACTGCAGTGCAGTTCAGAAAGCTGTTTTCTCGGACAGAAACGAAGGGCCATCCCTTGCTTTGCAGAGCCCAGCGGTGAGATGATTAACAAGCCAGTCTCACACTGGATTTCAAAACAAGAGGAGCCCTGCTGAGGGGCGGGCCACAGTCCAAAACAGGATATGCAAGTATAAGACAAAAAGGCTACGGGAAGCCTTTTACTACCCATGCCAGTCCTGCAGTATCTTTGAAAATGGCAGCAAGCATGGCAGCCAGCATCACTTCTCCAAAGAGTAACAGGCCATCTCATATCTACCAGCACGCTCTGGCTGTATGAAGACTAGTGAATAAAGCAGCTGACATGCACTGAACTCCACAAATCCTTTCCCCACCAGCCTCTCATGCTGCTGATGAATAAACTCGAGGGCATGCATGCCACGCTCCTGCCCTGTGCATGCAGCACTAGCGGGGCACCTCAGGCTGCCTGCACCAAACATCTTGCAACTGGGCAAATACTTGAGCCACTGGCCAGCTCTGACCTCCAGATGTCACTGGCTGTGCTGCAAGCAGTGTCCAAGATAACGGATTTTAAACCAGTCTGAATATATTCATGATGGCAGAAGCTATTGCAATAGGGATGCCAGGGATATTACGGTCTGACAGGTCACGTTCTGGTGGACCAAAGGCAGACCCTGCAGTGATTTCTATCCTTCCTAGACAGCTGCACCCCATCCAGAAACTTCTTAAATCGCCAGCATCCAGAGTCTTGGTACACTATCCCTGGTCACTAAATGCAGGCTTTCCAGCACTCCATACACACACGCACTCACGTACAAAATCCAAATGCTATTCCCTGGCTCCACAGCTTAGCTTGACTCGACGGCAAACAGGGCACACCACCCTCCGCTTCTCCCCTCCAGGCAGTGCATTAGCTGCAGGCCTGCCTGACCAGCCACTTGTCCCAGAGCAGCCTGGCACTGGCTGCCTCCAGACAAGCACCAAAAACTTCACAGAAACCATGAGTGGCTGCAGTGATTTACCAGTGATTAGACATGACAAGGAGAAGAGTCTTGCTCTAAGCAGCATTTGCTTCTCTTTACCCAGCACCTGCTTGCTCTTCCCACCAACCAGACCCTGCTGAGATTCAGAGACCTGCACAGTCTGCAAGAGCTCTTCTCCATGCAACCCTGTTCACTGCAAAATCCCATCTCATCTAGTACCCTGATCCTGTACAACGGACCGTCAAATGAAGATTCATAATAGACATGGTATGCTTGGAAGAATAACCTTAAATGTAGCACCAATTTACTCCTTTAAGCTTCACTGAAGCTCAGGTTTATTGCTTATGGCCACACAGTCTCTCCTCTCCTTTCAGAGCAAGATAAAAATCCCCCCTTGGGTGTCAGCAGTAGGACCTGAGCCCCAATTCTCATTGCAGACCTTCTCTCCTTAGCTACAGTTGTAGCTGTACAAGGTGGAAGCAGGAACCAAAAGTTTCCCTATATATAAAAGGCACAAAAGGAGACTGCACCAGAACAGACCATTGCATCGTACAAGCAGTGGTGTGCTAACAGGGGGTCACATTCACACAAAGCATTTGCTTTCCACACCAGTAAGTGATCTGCCATAACAGCCATTTAACTCTGAAAGGAAGGTGAGTGTAAAAATTGTTTTTTCCAGGGCCAGAACAAGTGGGGTTTTTAAGCCAATGTGGCCTTTCAGCATTGCAGAGAGAAAAGAGCTGTACTATATGTTGCATATAGAGATGCCTCTGTATGGCAGGCTGATGAGCTGTGATCTAAGGCAGCACACACACACACACACCATGCACTACAACAGGATTTTTGGCAAGCTGGGACAAGCAGATCAGGTTGTGTAACACAGGCTATGGAGACCTGGATGGCTTTATGGGCATCTGACCCTGTGTGTCCATAAATTAACAGAAATCACTTTCTTATTCCCAAGGAAAGCTCATGAAAACACCCAAAGTATCTGCAACTCTTAACGTAGGCATGTTGCCTCCATCAGTGAAGTGAAAACCTTGAATAACAAAGCAGAGAAGCTTGCAGGTTAATTTTTTAAGCTAATCAATATTAGCTAGCAGTACAAGATGTTTTAGATAAAGTCCACAAATAGAGTCGGCCAAAGAGCTAATGAAAAGCTGAAATTACCATTTTGGAAAATGCTCTCCATCTCTCAAACAGCTCATCTAACAAAGTGAAAGAGCACTACAGCAGCAGATTGAATTGAATGTTGACAAATGCACAATATGGCACGTCAGAAGGACCGCTAAACAATTCAAGGTACTTTATGAGTTTTGAGTTTATGGAAACCATTTAAGGAAAGACACTCTCAAGGAAAGAGGCTGCCGCATATTTACCAATGGCTTAAGGAGGCAACAAAACGTTAGTGGGAGAAGCAGTGGAATAGGAAATATTATTTGGTTGTATACATCAATATGATGTGAGTTGGAAAACCACATCCTATACTGTGTGTACTATTTCTACAAGCAGAATAGAGAATTCAGTTCAAAGACAGATGATGTCTGAATAGAGATGTAACACAAGATAAAAAAGAACATTAACAAAAGGCACTGTGGATACCTGTATGAGCCCTGTCCTTTCCTACACAGGAACACCCAGATAAAAACCAAAATCCCAAACGGCAACAATTTCAACACTGATTAAGAAAGATTACATTATTGTATTAACCTACAACAGCCACAAACACAAAAAAACCCGTCTGCAGACCTAGCTTGGGAGGATTCCCACAACACGATCACAGCAGATAGCTGTATTGTAGACAGAAACAAATGTGTGTTGGGGGACACCGCCACCTCCCCAAACCCCCAAAATGAAACACTGCCACAGACCCAATGGTGGTTGTTGGCAAAAGATAAGCTGGCCGCGCCAAGTCAAATCCAGGACCCATCCCAGACACAGCAAACATGCATGCACATTCACTTCCTACTGCCCCAGCTGAGCCTGTAGAGAGGCAGAATCACCTTTTTCTCCCTTTTTGCAAAGAAAAGGGGCAGGGAAAGACAGAAGAGCTCTCCTGCAGTGTGTGCTGATTAAGACAAGCACACAACCCCCATCCCCATGTGTCTGTAAGCCTAGGTGTAAGCAAGCAACCGCAGAGGCTTTTCTTCCTCCCACCATATCTCCAGTTTAGGGTAACAATAATTCACAATAAAACGCCCCTGCCAGCCCTATGTAACAGCTGGGCTCGGCACGGTTAGAGAAGCTGAAAGCATACATTTAGGGGAAGCAGTTATGGTGGCAGGACAGGCATGTGGCAGTGCATGCCAGCAGCTGTCACCCAGGACAGCTGTCAGCCTGTGCCCGGAGCACATCCCCGGACCAGCCCCTGCAGCGCATGGACCAGTCTCAACAGCAACAGCCTGCTGGAGCGTTTTACTGGGAAGCAGGGCAATCCCCAAGCTCCTTTCAATTTAATGATCAGATACCGATACAACCTCTCACCGCTATCAAAGAGAAAAAGCAGCAGAATTTTTATTTTGCTTTGTATTTCAACATTGAAAAAAAAATACGGAGAATCATTGTCTTGCTGCAAATCATTTTCATTTGTGTTGTACTCATAACTTCTTCATATTACCCCATTCAAAACAAGCAGACTGCTGCTTTGAGTGAAAGATGGAACACCTTTGGGAAAATCTGCCAGCTGATGGCTAGACACTTTTCAAGAGACATGAAATACCTTGGATAATAGCTTTTATGGTTTCAAAGGAAATGTGCTATAAAACTGCCTGACGGCAGGAGTTAGGAGTTCCTGACACACTAACACGAGGGGTCATGATTCACCCGGTGTCACGTGGCAAACAGGACATAAAAATCCATCCATTTGTTAAAAGCTCGCATTAGGCATAGGAAGGCATTAGTGCTCACTGAAATGGTTGCATTGTACATCCTCTGTAAGTGTCAGATAGTTCTACATTAACAAGTTTCTAAAGAGTATGTAAGCATATCTAATGAAATATGCAAGCTGAAAGTATTAGTAGAGTATGGAGTCGGAAAAAAAAAAGCTATATTCTTGTCAAAATTACTAACTGTACAGTCCTGCTCGTATTTATCTTCAAACATGTGCTTAATCTTCTACATTTGTAAGGACCTTACTTCTACTAAAAGGAGCCATTTAGTTTTCTTCTATATTTTGAAATGGCTTGGTGCAGAAAACCGTATACCAAGTTTGCATAAAACACGTGAATTAAAAAAAGCATTATAAACCTTCAGCCCAGGATCCCCCGAGATCTATAACACAAACAGCTCCTTGCTTCATTTACCTACAGCAGCAGCACACCTGATTCTTCCAGAAATATGGTTGTCAAAATGCTATAGCAAGGAGACCCATTTTAAAAAGCACTTTTCAACTTTACCTCCCCATTGAACATTTCTCACTGCATCATTAATAAATTAGGGTGAAGACAACATCCTCTGGACGCAACATTTAAAGAGAGATCTGCATTACAAAGATTTACTTCCAAAGTGACACAGTTTTATTTAAAACCTTGCGTTATGAATTTACATTCAGAGAAGGACTGAAAAGCAAGCAACAGCTGTACAAAATAAAGTTTAGTCCATGATCTCAGACTTAACCTACCTGCATTTCAGGGTCTCTCTTGAAGGCAGAATATTATTACTAATGCTGATGTTTCCCTGCAATTTGGGTGTGGCCCAAGACCAAAGGTGCTTTTGCTTGGCCCAACCCAGTGGCTCAGGACAGGCAGATGTAAAAAAAAAACCCAAGCTGTCCCATACTTGTTCGATCCTATAGAATTCTTTTCAAATACCTTTGTACATATAGCACAACAACATGCACAACAGCCTGGGACAGCATACAAAATGCTCGGGTCACTACCTGCCTTGCTCAAAGTCTTCATCAACTCTGACTAGGCAATAACAAAAAATATTAGAGAGTTTTGACAATATCACCATTCAGTCTACAGGGCATTTGAAAATTGTTAACATTAAAAAGCTGCTTCAAAAATAGTATTAAAGGTTGTGCAATAGGCCACGTACAATAATTATGGTGTTGCCTATGCAGTCTTGTCATTGCGTTGGAAAGTATTGGGCATATTCTGAGCATGACAGAAGTGACACAAATTCCGTTCCAGTCCCATTCAGTTAGAGAAACTGGCCTAGATACTATGTGACATGAAGCAGTGTTGGCATATTGCTACCTTAAAATGGTGGTTGCTTGATTTAAGCCAAGGAGCTGCTAGTGTTACTGCTGGACATACTTAGCTGCTTACACTGCTTAGGGTGGCAGGAGAGCAGCTAGAAAGGAAAGGCAGCAAATCTGGAAAATCAGTTTTTTCAAAAAAACCCCCAAACCTCAAAACTAAACACATTTTCTTCTGTTCATCATATCTGCAGTACTAAAAGATCTCCTATTGCTCATTCGTGCTGGAGGCTTACAAAAATGAATTGTGACTTACATGGTCAGCAATAGTCCGTCCCAACTTGTCCATCCTTGACCCAGCCTCTGCAATCTTCTTAGCTGCACTAATCACATCTGACGTATTTTTCAGTGGACCTTTACCTCTACAAAACAGAACAGAATCTACCTTCTAGCACCATAAAACTGGAAGAGTGAACTATATATTGCTTTATTCATCCTGTTCCATATAGTACTGGAAGTGATTCCTCACCCAAACTGCATGAATAAGGTTGCACAGAAACAGGCAGGTGTAACCATTACAGCACCTTCATTTTCAAGACAGTTTCCCCCTTCCAGCCTCTCCCCATATTCAGATTAAATCCAGGAATAAAAACATCTTAAAATTTTACTCGTTTAAGCAACCCAATGACGATAAGAGATAACAGATTTGCAATTTTCATGAAATGCAACATCAAGTTTAAAAAAGTGTTGTATAAAATCTGGTAAATTAATTTCAAAAAACATCAAAACCCCTCTCTTTCTTTTGCAAATAACTGTACTAGTAACTATTTCTGCAGTATAGCAATATCAACAAGCCCACAGAATTTAATGCTGTAAGAAACTGAGCAAAAAAAAAAAAAAAAGTATTTTCCTTGGGAGAAAAATCACCCTTAGACAGACAGACAGACAGGCAATAACTGCTGTGTATCTATACATCAATTTAAACAGTTATTATCACCCAGTCACTGCATAGTAATGCATCTCCTGAGTTAATACACAGGCTTTAATAAGGTAACATTTAAAGGAAATTATAAGAAGTAAGACTCTTATGAGTACTTGCAAAATATTTCACTGAAACATCAGCATCCCAGCCAGTTCTGAGAGAAGATGGTGTGTACATGAATTAAAAAGACTCACCTGGTGAAGTCTGTCATTTCCATCATAATCATACACATTTGTTTTGCCAGAACAATTATATCATTACCGCTGTCATCCCATTTTGATACTTCAGCATCCAATTTACTCTTTTCTTCCTGGAAGCTTGCGACTTGCTCAGCAATCTTAGCTTTTTGCTCTTGAGGGAGCTGAGCCATGATAGCCTGAAAGAGAGAGTTTTCTCACATTGCCTTATGCCGCCGCTTGTAGAAGGCTTTTTGGAACATTTCACTAATAACCAATTTAAGTCATGTTCATGGGGGATAAAACTTTAATAGCAATCCTCTACCTAGAGGCTTTACAGAACAATTTCCTTCCACTTTGAACCAAAGTTTATGGTCTTTCTTAAGAAACAGTGCCCAGAAAGACAAGCTGATGTCTGAAACATGGGTATTTGCATGATAAAATTGTTAGGCACCAAACAAGTTTGCCGGGTATTACCATCCATCAAAGAAAAACTGCGTGAAGAGGAGGGACTTGCTTTTTCTACAAAATTTAAGAGTTTTCAAAGAAACTTCCACTTGGGTATCTTTCAGTGTTGCAATGCACAGAAGAAATATTATGAGTCTCTTTCCTGCAAAAAGTTAGATGTACTATTTTGAAACATGCATACTCAGGAAAAAGTAAGTGAAAATAAAGAGTATGTGCTTACTCTTGAATAAAATCTATTAGACCAGGTTTACAGCCTGTATGAGACTCAATGCCCTTGCCTTCATAAATACTAGGAGCATTTATGCCTCCAGGAGCAGGTGAAAAAGAGTATTCGGTACAAAAAAAGCCTCTGGCAGCAGCTGTGCTAAAGGTAAATTAGAAATGTCTGCACTTAAATAAAAGAGGAGAGAGGATACAGGAATAGAGAGTGCCTGTACAAGGAAGGAGAGCATAAAAAATACTCTCAGTTAGTATAATTTCAAAGCCAACATGGCAGAAATTTGATAAATAAGGCCTAGCTACTTCTTGCCTGGTTTCAGGCTAGAAGAGCCTTCACAAAAAAATCTTTCCTGGCACTTTCCCAAGAGTGTAAATTGTTATCGATCCAGAAGGGGACATGTCAAATAAAAACAACAGGTAAGGCCTGTTTTTCCTTCAATGTACTGATTTTAAGTTTTCACCTATTAATGATTATATATTGCTTATTAATGCCTTCATTTTTAACAGTCATAGGAAATGCAGTTAGTTTAAATTATTTCATTTTTGAGCTCTTCTCAACATTGTCTTGATTAAATGTTCAGTGGCCAAACACACATCAACACATGTGTTAAGATGATACTTTTGTAAAACATGCATGAATTGCAGAGCTATCTATTTCTTGCCCACAAACTTTGCGTGTTGAAAATAACATTAGTACAATGGAATATTGCTCCATATCTCCCTGCAGGAGCTCACCTAATTAAATGGCAGTGCCTACAATGTCTGCGATGCCAAAGTATAAAGTATTTCATCAGTATTAAAAGGATTTTGACCTTTCACCACATCCAAAATACAACATAGACATCTCTGACGTCCATCAGACCAACACATGCTGCATTTCGCTTAACCTCCTTTTCAGAAGAAAACTGGAAACAAAAGAATGCCAGTTTCCTGATCGAACATTTTCAACACCACCCCCAAAAAATTTAACCTGGATTTTCAAAGCAAGTTGAACTGTTTCTTGAAGGCAGGTCACAATTTTACAATGCTCAGATTTCTTCCTTACCCTTGCACTTTGTCCAGCAATGAGCTGATCATCTTCGGTCTGAATACTTGTTCTGCTTCGGACATCAAAATCCTCAGTCTCAAAGTCAGAATCATCCAATTCTTCAGGAGTCTGAGGAAAGAGTAATTCAGTCAAACAATAGATTTCATGGCTCTAAAAATCAACAAGAATATTGTTTTTCAAGCAGAGAGAATGGAAATAAGTGAAGGTAAAAATTATTCCATGTTTTCAACAAAAAGGCAAATATAAGGACTGTATCCAGCTTGTGAACACGTGTGATTATATAGGCTTGACTGCCCATGTTAAATGCCATAAGGATCCCCCAAATTACACAGCAGTAACTAAACATTGACACTAATGCACTCAGGATTTGAAACACAGAAAAAAAAGTTTTTTCAAAACGAACTTTTTGGAAATGCTTGGTTAAATGTAAAAGCTTCACTTGAGATTCTGAAGCTAAAATTACACACAGCTTTAAGGCCTGGTTCAAAACCACAGACGTCATTTTCAGCACAATTATGAATCAAAGCATCGACTAAATTAACAACAGATAAAATATATCAAAATTTATTCTTATGCCCCAGGAAAAGCTGAAAATTTTTAGCTAGTAAGGGCCAGCTTTTATGCTGTAGGCTAAACACATCTGACCTAGTTCCTGCTTGCCTAGGATTTATTTTTGCTACTGCCAGTGTGTAGCTGGCAAACTTTTTATAAAGCTTATCTAGTTTAAACAGCACGTTTGTCAAAATACTACATCTTTACTTAGAGTGGCACTTCATGACTATTTTGCAGAGCTGGATCAACAAAGGACTTCACGGATAAATGCAATAAATTGTGATTAACAGATAAGATGCAAATAAAGTCCCTGCTCTTTGCATTTCTTTCCTATGATTTGAATTTTACAAACTTGTTTTCCAACACAGACATCTTGTGATACAGTTAAAATAAAGATGGATATGCAAAATAGTTGCCAAAAAGCAAAGATGAGTATGCTGACAATCAAGACCTAGGGTATTTCAGCCACCATCTCCTCTCTATGCCTTGAAGAACAGAACATATTCACAAAATCAGCATAAGGACATGTACTAATAAGTAGCCCAGTGTACAGATGTTTTAAAAGTTTTTTAAAAAAAAGAAAAAAAATCAAAGAAAACAGTTCTGCTGGATCTTTAGAGAGTATACAAAGTGTAGTTCTGCCTTTCAACCTGTCACCGAGAGCAAAAACTTCTCTGGGAGTGATGAGAGATTGCCTGGGGATCAGGGAGGAAAGAGCTTTACTTCAATAACCTACAGATACAGTAAGATTTTAGTTTTGAAAATACACTGCATAAACACAAAAATTAGGTGTTTGAGTGACTTTTCCTTCTGGTTCCTGTAAAGAACAAGTGCCACTGGACAAAATCCTGTGGTCCAGTCTGAGACAATGCCCTGGAGAAGTGGTGGCCTGGCATCTCCATTTGGATGACTCTCTTTATCTTAAATACATTCTAGACCTTACAGCCCTTCGGACAACAAACACTAACATTTTAACTTTTTTATAGGTCACTACTGTGTCACCAGTGAGCTGCCATTAGCTACTGGCAGGCGCAATAAAACTATGGCACCCCCCTGACATCAGAGACACGGCGCAAGGGGAAACGTCAGGATTCCTGGCATCGCCAGCTTGGCTAATTACCGACAACATGGAATTGGCAGTCATGCGTTCATGTCCTGAATAACAAGGACTTTAACAGGGGGTGAATCAAATTAGTTTGTCTGCATAGCAGGAAAGCACTGATATCTTCATCTAACATTGGTTGTCTATAAATCCCGAGCTTAAGTTTGAAAAAAATTATATGGAGAACACATACGTGGTTGTCAGCTTTTCTTCTGATTTTCCATCTGATTTTTTGCTTTAAGCAGCAAACATGGAAGATGCTATTGCAATGGTTACTATAATCACATATATTCTGGGGCTGTATGCCCTCAATTTACTTATCACCAAAACGCATCTGCCATGGTTACCACTCTGAAAGATGAAGACAGTTTCTCTGCAAGGCATTTACGTTTGAGTCAGAGGGGTACAAGGAAAAAAGAAAAAAAAGGAATAAAACCCCTGCATTTGTTTTTGCTGTGTCTGGCTCCTGCCCATTTTTACCACGCTAAGATTCAAGAAGTATGCCCATAGGTCAGCCTCAACCAGAACTTCCTTTTCTGCATCCCTTCAATCAACTGCAGGAGCCCTTCTGCATCTTCCCCACACACTTCCTACCAACAACGCAAGTACAAAAGACACAAAGCCTCTATGAACTGGTCCCTGTTTACTGAGGTTAGCCAATTAACGAATTACATGCTCTAGGAACTACAGACTGAACTCATCTGAACTTGTTTTTGACTAACTAGCATTAATTCTCAAAATTTACTTAATAAAGAACCATCACATTTTACTTCTAGGCTCTCAAACCATCAAAAAACATCTATAGTTAGGAATCCACTTGCTGTCGTTAAATCAAAGGTCACTGATTTTAGCACATTAACAAGCAAGGCATTAACATTTTACAAAAGATGCATGAAGGGTATTTAGCATCACAACTCTGGCTATCATTGATGCTCAGATCTGTTTAATGAATTTGAATCAAAATGTACTTCTGAAGTACTCCACAGAGTGATTAGCAGGTTTTAAGTCTCAGAATGTTGATATGAACTAAACAAAAATCTTAGGCCATCTGCTCTCAGTAAAACTGATGCATGTCAGTTCAATAGAGGTTTGTGAAAGTGAGTGGAAAAACGGAAAGCTAAGTTATGCTCACCCGGATCATCAGTACGGCTTTCCTGATATCTCGTATTCCGTCGTACACCAATCGTGAAGCATCGATAAATTCATTTTCATCCATTGGCTGAGCAGGGTCTGAACTCAGTGCTTCCACAGCAGCTTCTACTTGCTCAGTAAACCGCGGCATAACTGAATTAAGAACACAAAACAGCAGTCAGTCCCCACCCCAGTGCCATTTTCTGTGTGTGTGCCTCATTGTTTACTATCACTGGAAACTCTGCAGTGGTTCCATTTAAATTCAAACATTTGTTATAGAAGGACACCAATACTGTAGCTCAAGTCTTCTGTTCACTAAAATTTCTGTTTACTGCTATTTGGTTTTTTTCCCCTTAGACAGTGAAAAGTTTATCACACCCTTCTAGTGGACAAGGAGAAAACACCTGGGGAAGCAGTTAGAATCTATGGGATAAAATATTAAACATTTGTTTAATATTCCATGTAGATGTACATAATTTTTGTGGAAAAAAAATATTACCACGACAAAGCTCAAGTTTAACAAGGCACTGGAAGAGGGCAGGTTGCACTGCTGTACTTCAGTGACTCACTGCAGCCCAGGAAGAACATCATGGAACCATTTACAGTCTGTTTGTTCCTTCAGTGTCACCCTTGATTCTTCAAAGTTGTAATTAAAGCAAAAACAACAACTAATAGTTGGCACAGCACTCATTGAAGCAAGCAGAATCATTCCTTACCCTATATGGATGTTACCAGCTAGTTCACAGGAAACACCCTAATTTAGCGTTTAGGGGTGGGTGACTACAACCTACAATGTTTCTTTAACGGTTATAAAGATATTTTACAAAATTTACCCTAAATTATTACCCAAAATTTATTGTACTGGGCCAATAGGCAGAAATCTTCTTTCTGGATCCTGAACACTGACAGAGCCTGGTATAATACTGCAAGACAACCAGCATAACTTTCAAGCCTGGACTCACTGTTTGGGACTCATTCCCCAGTGTGTTTAGCTTTCTACAGCTCAGTCAGTGACAGCAAGCACATTGAGGGAGACCTTGTGCACTGCTGAGTTTTAAGCCAGTCAACACAGCAAAATTACATTTCTCATTTTGCAACAGCTCTGCAAATAACGCCCACTAATTTTCATTAGAGTATGTAAATGGCTTCTTTACTAGATTTCACAGGTACATTAGTATCCGGTTGCCCGTGCATTTGTAAGCAATGTGAATTCAGGTATCTTGGGAGTAACCAACTCTTACCTGTGTTGGACAGTAACTTTGTTGCTTCCAACACCTTCTCAGTGTAGACTCCAGGTTCGTAGTTATCCATTTCAGAAGTGACAACATGAATGACTCTAGCAGCACGTCCTCGAATTGCACCAGCTGTGCGGTCTAAACCATCAACATCTTTTTCTTGGAGAGCAATGACACATTTGTTTACATCTTCTAAAATATGATTCTCTGGTGGTAAAAGAATGGGATTTAGATGGTAATATCTTCTTTTCTGTTATAGTCATTAGCATTGCACTTTCTCAGTTTGTGACCTGCTCTATAAAACCTCCAGTGAGATGCTGTAAAGCATTAATTTTTAAGCTTGCTATGACCAGCAAACAGCCAACCTTCCCAACCAGGTATCAAAAAGCCCCATCAGTCCATTCACCTACTGGCATCCACACTTCTTCCCCCTGTTTGTACTCGATTTTACCAACAGAAAAGCTGAGTTCAGCTGAATTCTCTCCTTTCTTTCCATATTCCTCCCCTGGACTGCCAAAGCCCTCATTCCAAATATTTGCAAGCCACTCCCCCATCACTCCATGTGCGTGGGGCGATGAGGCACCCTCCCCAGTGCCACACCTAATCCACTCAACGCTCTAATAGACTGGGGCACTTGTTGCACATTTCTAGCTTCCTACATAGTGTTTTCCTACAACCACACATATACCATCGGAGAATATTAAACTGTTAGTCCTCCATTCAAATTTAAGACACATAACATATGCAGTGATTTATGCAGAAAGCGTTCCAGCGACAGAGTACTCATTGCCTCTTAAGAAAACAGAAAATACGGCCAGGATCTCTGTCTGTAACTTACTTTTAGAATATACATTTTCTTTCTTATGCAGAGATATCTTTCCCCATTTATCAAGTCCAAGAGGCCCAAAATGAGTAAAAACCCCTAAGAGACTTCTGAAGATACCTAAAAAGGTTGGAATCCTCATTTGGGGAAACCTACCCAAAAGGTCTTCCAAACACTGTTAGAGACCTCTTTAATATATCAGTACCAAAGCTTTGAGACTGCCATTCAACATCAGCATTTGGTAAGAAACCAACCTGGAAACATGAATGCTCTGTCACTTAAAATAGTTTCCAGCATTGCTTACCATTGACTTAATCATGCTACACTGCCAATCTGTGCCACTGAAGTGGCTTTTATTCCCTA